AATGACTGGCCTGCACAAAGCAATTACTTGAATCCTATTGGAAAGTCTGTGAGGTGAACCGAAGACCAAGGTCCGTGCCAGCACAGCATCAAATCTGGAGGAGCTTTACACAAATTCACCATCACTACAGTTTAAAATAGAATAGCAACGATGTGGCCAGCTGATGTACTGAGCTGTAAACATGTTATTTGTCCTGCTGACGCTGACAGTCTGACTTAATTTTGGACCAAGTGGCTTTCAGAGTTTGCAGTTTTTACACTTCCATGTTGGTATTTTTCACTCAGCCTTGGTGTTTAGTTGGGCTCTGTTTGTTAACCTCTCAGGTCACTAATGAACCGGCTCCCGTCAGCTAGTGTCTGATGCCTTCTATTTTAGCCTAATTCAGCAAATATGAAATATGGTTTGTAAGTTGGTAAGCAATTTTCTTATTCTACTTTTTTCATTAAAGACTTATTTTTTATGGCTTTACCACAAATGAGGAGAACATACATGTTGCTGCAGGGGTGGCTGTAGCTCAGGCGGTAGAGCAGGTCATCTACTGATGGTGGTTCGAGTCTGCATGCCAAATATCCTTGGGCAAGATACTAACCCCAAATTGCTCTCTGATGCATCCATCGGAGTATGAATGTGTGTGAATTAGATCAATGTGCTTGTGTGAATGGGTGAATGCACAGGTTGTGTAAAGCGCTTTGAGCGCTCAGAAGAGTAGAAAAGCGCTACATAACAACCAGTCCATTTACCATTTGAAGCCTGAACCAAAGTTTGCTCTATCATCTACTGATCAGGAGGTTAGTGATGCCTGCACCCCCAGTGTGGGTGGAGGTTAGCTAGGAAGCACTAAAAGGTGCTTGTGTGAGTGAGTGTGGCATGTTGTATGAAGAGCTGTGAGCTCTGGGACAGTAGAATAGTGCTTTATAAGAACGAGTAGCTCTAAGTCATCTCTCCCAGCTCGTCATCAAACTAAACTCTGCTCAGAGCTGATCCAGGGTCAGGGGGACAGGTGACGGCTCCTAGACTTCATTGTTGTTGTCGACCCTGCTCTGATGAATATTTGTGTTCTCTTCACTCAGCTGTTCAGTCTCCTCTATCACTGAAAACTAACACAGCTGCTTCTCCTTTTCCTTTGGCTCATTTCTTCATTTTCTCATATTTGCTTGCATTTAAATCTGAACCCCTGTCTCTCTGTGCACTTGGCCTGTACCACTACACTCGCTGTCTTTGGATCATCTACCCCCATCTACCCACTTTCACATAATGGTATGATCCCAATCTGTCTCTCCGTGTGATTGGCCACATTGGATGCTGAGCAGCTGAATCTTCAGCTCTTCCTGACTGAGGTCGGCTCGTTCATGAACAGCTCATCACTATAATCAACGTGCACTGACTTGTAGTGACTTTCAAGAACATTTCAAGAACCCACAGAAGAACACTGGG